AAGGAGCTCTCAAATAGTGTAAAATATCAAAAAAATGCTTTTAATTGGCTGGAGAAGTCATTATATCTTTTAGAGTATATGTTGGAGTGGACGGCCAACTAGTTGGGTCATATATTTGACAATTGAATTAATAGTATTATCAATGTAATAACGAATTATATATTTTATTTTTTATTCAACTTGAATTATCTATTTTGGCGTTGAAAAAATTTTAGATTAACACTCGAGGAAATTTATGTGATCTAATGTAATGCGATTTAAGTTCTTTTGGATAGAGTTGCGAACTATAAACTACTAGTTTTTCAAAAAAAAAAGAACTACTGTTAGCTTTGGAGTACAATTTATATTTATGAATATCACGGTGAGCTGGCATTATACAGAAATGTTGATCACAAGACCTTATCTCTGCCAACGTTAAGGCAGAGATGAGGTCACATGAATCAACCCATAAAATTATCTCTAACAAGAAAAAATAGTAGTAGTTACGGTTTTAGACTTTAACGACTATTAAAAAGAAAAATAATATCATGTATATATATATATATTTTTTTTACAAATATTCATCTTATAATAACCAAATTTATACAAAATCTCATTCTAAAAATTTTGTCTTTCATAAAACAACTTTTCGCGATAAACTCATATAAAATCATTAATTAATATATTTATTAAAACATATAAATTTTTTAAATTATTTGATAATAATAACACCTACAATGTGGGCACTGCATAAAACCACATATATTGAACCATTTAACCTAGCACTCATAATGACAATGATTGAGGATATTGAAAAAGAAAATTAATGTTGATGTAAAAATAACATCCTTCGATGATAAAATCTGCAAAATTTTTTTTATAAAACATTTTTATCGATAAAATAAAATTTTAAACAAACAACGATTGATCGCCTCGCAAAGAAATCCAAGAACAGATTATCTTCCTTACGCAAAATCTAGTTCATATCAAATAAATATAAAAAAGTACTATATGCGTATAGAGACATGATCTGTTCAATTATTTATATATAAAACTTCAGTTTTTACACAAAATAATTGAAAGGATCACATCTCTATATACACGTTTTTAAAGTAAACTGTAATTAATAATTATATCTAGCTATAAAAAAAAATATACAATACTATTCTGAGGCAAGATATGTAATATACATTTATATTTATTTTAATGCAGTATCACAATATTTTTAAGCATCATATGTATTTAGTATCAGAACTTATAATTTTATTAAAATATATTAATATAATAAAAATTAATCCCATATTGTAAAATATAATACGAAGCATAAATACAGATACTGGTTTATCTTATTACTATATTTTACATCTGTCCTGTATATATATAAAAATAATCTCATATATAATCAAAATATACTATGCGTTTGTTAACCTTCTTTATATTTAATTAATAAAGGATCCAAGCAATTTAATGCCACCATTATAAAATTTTTTAATGTAATATCGCTTTTATTGTTTATTTCTTCAAGTTTTCATATTTTATAGATTAATTGGCAACTTCCCTCTTTATCCTTTAAATCTCGTTTCTGAGCCTAATTAAAATTAATCCTGAATATTTGTGATATATTATTTGAAATATACAAGATTAATATTTTAATTTATTCAATAAATCGTAATATGTAGTGTGATGAAGAATAATATATTCGTACAGCAATAAGTTATTAGTTAATAAATTATATTTATCTTGATATTGTATTGTATAGTTTTTTTTTTATAGCTAGATTTAATGATAATTAACGGTTAACATGAGTCGTAATTGATCTAGGTGCAGACATATGATATAAAAAAAGACAGTTATTATTTAAATTCAAGAAGTTGAATGAAGTGTTTACTTCAACACTTGTATTAGTATTTTGTTTTACATTGAAATAACAATGAATTGTAAGTACATTTAATAAAATTTTGTATTAAAATAATAGCGAGAGACTATATAGTTGTTTTAATAGTTTTAGAATATGAATTGCAATTTTTCGGTGAAACTTCGAGTACCGATATGTGTAATTGGTGTTGTAAGAAAAAGAATGAATGTTTTTGTTCTGAATATAATAAAGAGAAGCCTCCACCTGAGAATAGCTATATTAATGTGGAAGAAAGTGATGATGAATATAATGAATGAAAAAATAAATGGGAATAGGGAGCATTTATCATAAAAATTATAAATGGTGTGAATTATATTATGAAGCTAAATATTATAGTAAAAGTACTAGTCATAATTTTTATGATTGTAGGTATAAGAAAACGGAACTATTTGTAAAAAAAGTTAAATGTTCGTTTTGTTCTAAGTTATATTTTCCTAAATATCATGATGAAGGTTTCTTATGTTTGAAATCTCTTTCTGATAATGATCCTAGACGTTCTTTACTTTGGAATCCCAATTGGTATAAAGATGATAAAAATAATTAGGTTGAAAATTATCAAAGTAAAATTTCATATAATTTTGATTATGTAAATAATTTTGTCAAATTTTTATTTGTAATGTTGGCGCAATTAAAATTAAAATTTTAATGATTTGCCTGAATTTAAAAGGCCTATTTTTGAGATGATTATGAGGTAGTAAACCCATTAAGATGGGTATTTTTTTTGATTTTTTTTTTAATACTATAAACTTTCAGATTCTGCCTCTATATA